GGCTGCCCCGCGGAGCCAGGGAACAAGGCGCCCATTGACAGCTGGAGCCGGGCCGTGGCGCAGGAAGCAAAATCCCATCTCAAGCCAGCCTCACGTGACTGGGGGCTGAGCCGAGCCGGCCTGGCAGCCAGCGCCGGCCCCTGTCCTACTTTCCATCGACTCCGGCACGCGGGCTGGAGGCTGCCGCGGGGGCCCAGAGCGTGGATGGATGCACGTGCACCCCACCGCCCCGACCTGGGCGTCTGAACCCTCTCCTGGGCACGGCCGGACCGGGGGGGGGGACGCTGCACCCGGTCACCCGGAAGCTAAGCCCCCGCCGGCACGGAGCCGGCCTGCCCCGGCACCACGCACAAGCACTTCCAGCCAGGGAGAGAGGAGCCTGCGAGAGGCGAAGGGGAGGGGAAAGGCCGGGAAGACAAAGGCCTGTGCCGGCTGCCCCGGGTCTCTGATGACTGGAAAGTCCCCGTTTCCCCAGTCCCCGGGACCGCAGCCAGAGCCACGGGCCGGGTCACACGGAGGCAGCTGGCGTCACGGCCCTCGGAGTCAAGTCCACACGCACATGCGTGTGCAGGGGCGGGGGCGGACCCATGCAGGAACCGAGCCACGGAGGCCCACGGCGCAGCCTGCTGAGTCACGGCTCCAGCGCCAGGCGGTGCACCGGGCTGGTAAACAACACCGTCCTCGTCCCCGAGGCAAGAAGCACCCGCGCCACCCCCGGGGAAGGGCAGGGCGGCCTGCCCAGGCCAGGCTGTGACCCCGGCCCCCAGGGCCCGCCCCACCGCGGCTCCCCGAGCCCAAGGTGCAGGACATCACCCTGCATCCCGGCCCCCCTCCAGCACCATCGCAGCCTCCGCGCAGGCCCCAAGGGTCTCGCCGTGCCAGGGCCCCCTGCCATCCCTCCCGCTGCACGGGGGTGCGGACGTGCCCGCGGCACCCAGGATGCCCACGCTACGTCAGAGGAAGCTGCCCCTGGAGCCGCAGACCTGGGCAGCCGCCAGCCCCGGGAGCAAAACAGACAAGCTGGACCCAGCCAGGAGCCCCTCCCGGGGCCAAACCCCAGCCAAGGAAACCGCAGCACGGCAGCACGCCAAGGGCAGGGAGGCCGTGGACCCGAGGCTGGGAAGAGCTAGAGGCCTTCTCCTTCCCGCCCCAGCGCTGGAGGCTCTCGGGGCTCCCAGCACAGGGGAACGCAGCCCCCAGCCCGCACCGCTGGCGCGAGGAGACACGGGCCCCGCCGGGCGTCTCCGGGAGGGAGGGCTAAGCCGCTTTGCTCTAAGGCTCCGTAATTCCAGCGCGCGGCCTATTTACGGCATCAGCAATCCTAAGCCATCACCTCGGCTCAGCAGCGCCGCGCCCCCAGGACGCCCGAGTCCCACGCCCAGCCAGGCCCACCGCTCCCCGTGGCCAGCAACTGGGCCAGGGCCAAGGGGCCCCGAGCCAGGAAAGCAAGGCCAGGCCTCTCGCGGGCACGGCTGGCCCGGGCCCTCGGTGCGCGGCGGCACCGGAGCGCAGCTGTCGGATGGCTCCAGGCTGCACGATGCCCAGACCTACCCCACAGATATGCACTTGCTCCAGCCACACCGACTCCCTTCGCCACGGGGCCTGCGCTCCACCCGAATGCACCGCGTGGCACCTGCCAGCCCCTGGGGCTGCCTGGGGGCTCGACCCCCAACAGAGGCAGGTGCTGCTCCCCACAGCTCTACGGCACCGAGCTCTGGGCCTCCCCACTCTGGCGGGCTCTGCGTGGGTCCACGCTGGCTCCTTGGCCATGGCAGGCGATGCACGTGCCCCGGGGGACCGGAGCTCCCCGCGTTTCTCTGCGGCTCAGCACCACGCTCCTGCCCTCAGGGCCGACTCTGCAGAGCCGGGAAGCAGGTGCGTGGGGCTGGGCAGGTGGCAGAGCCCCAGGACACGCAGTGCAGAGCAGGCCGGGGACGCCAGGCCAGGACCGGCCCCCAGCACGGCCTGAATGCGGATGCCGGCGCGCGCAGGCAGTGAAGCAGCCCGGGAGCAGGCCCAGGCCTCCTGCTCTGCCCTGTCTTGAACCCAGGAGCTGCCCTGGGAGCCAAACCAGGGATTGGGGAGGAGCCCAGACCAGCCAGCCGGGGCAGTTGGCAGAGCCAAATATAGCAGACATCATATAGCGAGCGCTGCGTGCGTCGGGGCCAAGTTCACGAGGAAGCCCAGGCCCGGGCAACGTGGCCGAGCTGCTACGGGCAGCGCCGGGCACAGCTCTGCCTCCTACACCAGCCAGAGCTCCTGGACCGGGGGCGCAGAGCCCGCTCCTGAGGGGCGTGGGGGCCGCCACGGGACCCAGCAGCGAAGGCTCAGCCCAGAGCACGTGTGCTTCAACGCACGAGGAAGAGCTGCCGCTGCACCCACGGGGTCCCGGCGGGGAATGCGCGGCGATGGTGCCATGCAACCCCGAGGCCCCCAACTCGAGACGCCTTCCCGCTGTCAGGAGGGGGCCGCTGGCAGGACGGAGGGACCACGGCTGCGCGTGGCAGC